ATGTACTGTCAACTCCGTCAGATGGCCTTTTTGTTGTTTTTTGTTTTAAATAATATTTATTTTGTTTCTAGAGAAGCATTTGTCTTATCACTAACAGGGTATTTTAAAAATCATTTTATATTTATTTTTGTCAGATAAACAAAGTTCTGGGTCAGGTCAATTAAAAATTTAATTTTTTTTTTAAATGTTGCAACTGGGAGCCTGCACCTTAGCATCTTTATATTTCTAAAACATTATTTGTCATATTTGCATACATAAGGTTGAGAAATAATTTAAAAAATGGGAAAATTAAAACCCATTTTGTCCCTATTCTCAAGAATCACTGTAAAATTAAAAATAGCTTTTTCGTGCTGCCTGCAAAGTTCTTTTGTTTTATTTGGCAGATCAATTTTGTTCTCTTCATTGGGATCATCATCATCTTGGTGCAAAAACTCCAGTCCCCTGATATCGGAGGAAATGAGTCCAGCATTTATCTGTAAGTTGCATCACGAATTTTAGTCAGAGACTGAAATGTGTGCTTAGAGTAGTCAAATCTGCGAGAAGTTATTTTGTGTTAAAATTCGACTATGATGGGGCTTTTTTATACCTTACTCCCATGCAGGGGAATGAAATATTACATACAATACAGAATATATATATATATATATATATATATATATATATATATATACATATATATATATATATATATATATATATATATATATATATATATATATATGGTCATAAATGTCATTATTGTGCTAAGTATATTTAATATGCTGGGGGATAATCTTACTGGAAAAGCAAAACCACAATCAGTGCTAAGAAGAATAAATGCTAAGCAGTTTTAAATAAGTCAAGTATTAAAGGTATCTTATAACCTGTTGTGTCCACCTTTCTTTTATACTCAAATGTGTATAACCTGTTGCCAGGAAGCCTGAGCATCTTTGTGGAGTTGTAGTTTAGTCAGACATCACTCCTGGTCAGGTCCCAGAGGACTGTCTTTTAAAGCCCTGCAGATAATGCCATTTTCATCTGCTGCTTGGGTCCAGGCGTGCGTGACAAACTGAAGACGTGTGAGCATGTGCGAGACTGCGTCCCTAAAGACATTGTCTTTGTTGTATTGTGTGTTGTCTTTGTGCTGTATAGCAGCTGTGCTCAGAAATGCTTCAGTGAGCCCACACAGGCTGTTCAGCATTCGTGCAGGATGTCAGAGTTATCCACCATCACACTGTAAGTGTGTATGTGTATGTGTGAGACTGCTTTTTGTGGATTGCATGTAGGTGTGCGTGCGTATGTGTGTGTGTATTTGTGTTTTACCCCAGAGGTTCCAAATAATTTGATTTGAAAAACTTGAATAACAAACACAGAAATGGGGGAAAAATACTGAGTTAAAACTTAATTGAGAATGCAAAGAGTAAATAAACATATTTTTTGTTTTATTTACTTTGGGGTTTGGATTTCATTTTCTTTTGTATCTCGAGAGTTCCTGGTACATTTCGATTGCAGGAGGAAAATACCTTTGCTTTCTTGCTCAGATTTGGATAAGTAGGTTGCAGCAAAGGGTTTGCAGTTTTAATAAAAACTATTGGAACTGAAAAAATCTGCTTCATTTTAGGCTGAGCAGTAAACCTTAACACAGTAATCAGTGGGAGCTAAAGTGAGTAACTAAAACTACTTTAGATAATATTGGGATAGATATCAGATTATTTTTCAGATTAAGGCTATAGTACTGTCATGCTTCAAATTCAAGTCCCCAAGATTGAAGAGAATCAACCCTCAGAAAAGAAAACATATAATATTTTTTGCTACTTTTCATTCAAGCAAATTGTTGTGCTGTGGAATATATGAATTTCCCTCTGAGATTAAGAAAGTATATTCATTATACCATCAAATCTAAGCTACATATGCACATAACCAAAGACTCAATTTAACACTTTACAGTAATTTCTCATTTTTGCCATGAGAGGTCACTTGTAGTGGATCTTTAAGGAGCTGCTCCTTACAAAAGCAAAAATGTTTTTGTTTTTTTTTAAAGATATTTTAGCTTCTTTATAGAAGGAAAAAACAGTTGAGGAAAGACAATTTTTTTGCTTGTTAAAAATTGAATGGGGAGCGATTTTCTGTAATATGTATTAAGAGCAAAGTATTGATTGAAAATAGGTGAAAACTGTATTACCTTAAAGCAAAGTTGTTGTTTTTTATTTATATATGTTGTAGACCAATTCAACGTAACGTTTAACATTGAATCAGTGAGATTAGATGGAGAAGACCTATAAACATCAATTTTTAATTCTCATTGCACACTCTCAAAGAACATTTTAGTCTGGACTTTGACTGGGCCATTTTACCACATGCTTATCCTTTGACCTAAACCACTGTAACTCTGAAAGTAGGTTTAGGGTTCTTGTACTAATAGGAACAAGAACCCTTGTTCCTATTAGTACTTTTTACCTATTTTGCAGCTTCAAGCAAGATATCTTCCAGGGTCTCCCTCCATCTTTCCACACACTTTGACCTGCTTCCTTTACTGAAGAAAAGCAAAAAAAAACATCATGACTCTGCCACCACCACGTTTCAATGTGGGAATGGTGTATCAAGGATTATGTTTGGTGTGAAGCTATCAATTTCAGATCAAACTTTAAAATAAGTTTGATTTATTTTTAAATCAAACTCAAGCAATAGTGTTTTATTGCTTGAAAACTATCAGAGTAAATCCTTTACAGTCAACAAGTAGCATATAAAATTTTCTTTACTTTCCAAATGTATTTTTTTTTCTTGTGAGGCAAAAAAAAAAGAAAAAAAAAGAAGAAACTGTATTTCTGATTCTCACCATTCTGGCATTGTAAATTGCAGGGAAAAAAATAAATAAATAAATAAAAACTTTCCATGTTGATCAGCAAGTTTGGTTTTCCGTCACTTCCACACTGTAGCAAAAGGCCAGAAATGGCATTTTTTGTGAAATGTCATTTGTTGATTCTGAAGAACTTTGGTTTATAAAAATAATATCTAGCAACACTGAAACTAACAGTTAGTTATTTGAACAAATTCCTAGTACGATGTTGGTTTTACACTCCTTGTTTGCTCCAGAATTGGAGTGAATAATTAAACAACGTACCAGTTTAGTTGTTCTTATCTTTTCTAAATCTCAGCAAGAAAATTAATCCAACTAATAGTTTATTTATTTATTTATTTATTTTTGGGAGGTGTCATA